CGAGCATGTTTGGTGTGACAGGGATTCGAACCTGCAACCCGCAGATTGCGAGTCGAGCGCCCTAACCACCTGGCCATGCCGGGCCTCTGAATTTTTTTACTGGCAAAAAAATTAGTTAAAGAAAAATTCACAATATTATATAAGTATATCTGTATATTAGATTAGATTAGAATCAGATAAACCTCATACTCTTGCTTAAATTACAACAAACATTGACAGTTTATCATGCACATTTATCCAACTTTTGCGTAGAATAACTGTTTTTAAAAATGAACTATTCTAGAGAGTTTTACAAGGCTATTTTTATATTTTTCTTGTGGTTTCGGCCAAAACCTTTTTTTTTTCGCAACCATATTTATAACCTATTTTGCTATCATATCTTACAAGTTTCAATTAAATAGATTTAATGGTTTAATTAAGCAGAACAAAAGACTCACAAAAATCAAAACTGTTCTTCTAAATCTTAGCTATGTTCTAGCTAGCGATTCAATTAGACGTTTATTATTAGCGTCTTTCCTTTTATCGGCATACATTGCAACAGCCATGGTCTTTAAATGAATACAATCTGAGTAATCTAGAATACTTGTATTGTAGTTATTGCATCAGCGGCGCCTAGCCTACTTTGGAAAGTAGTTATGTGGGCTGGTGCTAATTCTGTCTTTCACTAGAAACAAATGATGGAGAAGTAAGTAACAGTAAAATAGCAATAAATATATTATGGGTTATTTTTTATTAATTTTCTGAATTCTATAGGATATCAAATTTGCGATGTACATATGTGAATAAAGCGGCAACTGATTCCAAAGAGCACTATTTGGGGGGGGGGGACAAGAACAAACTGCCCGTTATCCTATTTGTGTCATCTAACAAGTGCATTTATTTTGTAATAATGCCACTAAGAGTAATGGACCAAAAAAACACATATGCAGTGTAATTTCATGTTTGGGATATTAATTGCTCGTAATGTTTTTTTCTTATTTAACTGCCAAATGCATTTATAGTAGTAATAAATAATGTGATGTCAGCGATAATAATACCAAATCTAAAAAATGTCTGTTCGATGCAATTTGAAATAGGTGACGTTGATTATTCGTTGGTAAAGCTAACAAATAAGCTAGTTACGATACATCAGCTTACACTAATCTTCGTTAACAGCCAAACCTGAAACCAACGCAACAAAAAAATAAAGTAGGCATTGAATGTAATATGCACCTTATTAAAGTCAGCCATGTCCGCTATCTCGTTCCACAAGTTGATCATAACCTGCTTTTTCTTATCATGTACCTCCTTGTTGTAGACTCCTTTACATTCCTGAATGGCATATTTCTTTTAGGTGCAGGAAAACATTAAAAGAAAAGGTTCAATGACTTTAATTCTGAAAAACGTACTATACACATAATTTACATGATTTACTTGAGCTATTTCAACGGTCTAATCTTTTGGAAATTTCATTATTAATTGTTATTAAAGAAGTAATCAGTTAGAAGATGATTGATTATGTCTGTGTTATGTCATAAAAACTCTTTATAAGTACAAACTATATCAAATTATGGTAAAACGTTGGTTTGATGATCAATCAGATTTAACAAAGTCTTACTACAATGAACAAAAAATACAATACGGTGTTGCGTCTAAATATAAAACATATATTTAGTTTCGTTGATGTCTATTACTTCAGCCTATCTTGGATTATATTCTAAAAGAGAAGGCCAAGTCAAAATACTGCTAGAAAGTATCAGCAAAAATTTATAGATCCTGATCAGATTTTAACAGAACAAATAATGAACAATTTAATGATTTAATTGTCATGCAATAGTTAAACACTCTTTGATAACAATCACTTATAAAACAATCCTTACTTATCCTTGTTCTTAAATGTATTTTCTAAAGGCGGTTATTGTAAATACATTTTTCGGGTAGTTTTATACTTTCTAGAATTATTTTTTTAAATACATGGTTTCGAATAAAAACTATTTCGACTAATATTCAAATAAATTGTGAACGTTACGAGCATGGTGAAAATTTCTTGAAATCGTTTGAAATTTAATAGTGTTATATATTCGAATAAAATTCATGAAACAAAATCCATCTTCTCTTTCTAAATCTTAGTTTACTTACGCTTCTTTTCGTTGATATGTTCATTGCAGCTAAGATCTTGGAATCAGTAATTATTGGTAATAATAGAAACGTTCTTACAATTGAACATGTTGCAAAGAAATTTTGTTCATTTAGTTCTGGTTTGATAGTTGACTGCACTTTACGTGATACTGTTCTTTGCTATATAATATTCAATTCATATTATACTCTTAAAAATTATTTAAGTATGTACAATGGATATTTCTTTTTTACAAATATTATTAAAATACCAACCCAAATTAAATCTGCTTTATTGTCTAATTGCATTGAGAGTTAGCACAAAGCTACAAAAATGGGCTTTCTGTG